AATAATAATTCGGTGACTGAATAGCCTATTCAATATCATAGTGAAATTTAAAATTCAAATTTGAAACTCTTATGTGTATTGGATTGCGTTTTTTTATATAAAAAATGTCAGATTTTCACCTAAATTTCTAATTCAAAGCGTTTGATCACTATTTTTTTTTTCATGAAAATGTTTTCCAACTTTTAAAAATATGCATCATTTTTCTTATTTTTAGGAAAAATATTTTCTTTTCTAAAATATATTTTTCATACCAATCAGAAACGCTCTTATAGATTCTTTACTCATCCATCAATAATTAGAAACGCCTTTTGGGTCCGACTTCTATATATTAGAGTGAATTTGTAATTAAAATACAAACTGTATTCTATATCATTGAAATTTGTAATTCAAATTCGAACTAAGAACCCCCTTTTTTTTTTTTTTTTAATTCATTGAATTAATTACAACGGATGAATTCTTATTTTATTTGTTATGATTAGAATTGTAGAAAAAAAAACTGCCTCTTTGTTTGGGAATTGGGAGTATCTTTCAGAAACCCTATGACATTTGTATGGACGTTGATGTGGGCCCAGCCTTTATTGACCGATTGGTAACACTTTCTGCAAAGCATCAAAATTTCCGAGTTACCTTACCCGTATCTATAAAGTTCCTTCTCTGCTTTATAATCACTTTATTTTAAAATTTAAAGGGCCACAATTAAAATTTGGTTATATTCATCCTATAATTTTTATTTTTTGTATCACATTCTAATTATACTTAAAGTTCTTAATTTTTGCTCATTATATAACTTATGTCCTTAACGATTGTTCATAACATTCTTATTTTCAAACTTTTTTATTAATTAATACATTTTGTATTTAATAACAGTTTTATATCAAAAAGTTCGTTGAAATGACGTAAAATAACTTATTCTCTCATCACATTTTTTTTAAAAAATAAATAAATAAAGCAAAAAAATATGTTTGCTTCATTTTAAAGTACAAAAATACAATATTTTGATATAAATCATTATCAAGGACGAGACATACCATTGGTTGCACTCATATATCTAACGTTTTAAAATGTGACACTCATGTCTCTAGCAATCCCAAAGACGTTTATTTGAAAGTTAAATTATCATGTGATGTTCACATGATGGTATATTTTTATCCTATTTTATTTTTCACGAATAGTAAAGAATTTTATCCTATTTGGGGTTTTAATCAAAGTTGAAATAAGTGTTTGGTTTGTCTTAAAATATAGAAAATATTTTTCTTATGATAGCATGTTAAGGGATAAAATCTCACATCGAATAAAGATGAAAATATCGACCAACTTATAAAAAATCGGACTACTCTTCTTAACAAGGTTGACCTCTTAAAATGGAACTCAAGTCTTTACAAAGTTCATGCATCTCTTCTTTTTCCCTTTTTTTTTTTTTTTTTACTTCTCGTTTTGTTTGCTCTTCTGTATACTACAATGTTGAATGCTGGCATTTTCCCTACCCAATTTCTAAAAATTCATTTAATTGGCCCAGAGATACAAAAGAAAAAAGAAGTGATTTTTTAGTTATGTTCAAAAAAGCAGGGGAATGCACATTTACTTGAAACAGTTTCCAAATAACTATTTTATGCCTATGAGCACGTATAGAACCTTTGATTTTACCTCACCGAAAATCTGATTGTTATGAATAGCATATTAAAGATAATTCATTTGTTTGATCAAGTATCCTTAGTATGCTCTATGTTAAGCTCCTAAATCCGTCACCCAAGAATTAATAGGATTGTCAATCGACACAAGTAAAGCATCATGTACATCTTCAGTCATTGCCATTGAACCGTCATTATTCTTTTCTTCCTTCATATTCAATTGTTGTGCAATTTTTCTTCATATGGCTAGTCTTGTCACAGTGCTAGCATTTTATATTTTTTCTAGTCCTGGAAATGTTTTTTGTATTCATCAACTTCCCACCATTGCTTTTATTCGAATTTTTCAAAACCCCTACACCTAGTCTTGAAATTTAGGGCCAAATTCGATAATGAAACTTTTCCAAAATCTCTTCTACCAACTTGCTCAACAAGAATAGTGTCTCAAACTTCACTGAATTTTAGTATCATATTGCCAATAGAGTTACTGGCAGCAACTCTCACAGGCTCCCAACTATTTGTTAATGATGCAAATAAAAATAGGGTACATACTTCATCATCAAATTTAATCTCAACTTAGGCCAACTGATTGACAATTTATTGAATTTGTTGAGATGCTTTACTACTCGAGGACATTCTTTAAGTTAAATATTTTTTCATCAGGTGTACATTATGTTGTGTTAATTATACCTAGAATCTCTAATACCAATTGTTGGGAATTCAAGGATCACGTATTGCTCAATACCACTTGATATGAAACCAACCACCGGATTGAGATGTTGAAGTTATATGAAAAAATATGAAGTATATGATCGCAAGCAAAAGAAAGACAAGCAAATATGGCAGAGAAATTATGAGATTTTATTAATTCGTGAATAATAATATAGAAATATACAATTGATACTAAAAGCTAGTAATCACTTTTCTCACACTGACACCATAAAATTGTATAAAAGAACCTAATATTTATAGGGAACATGTAGGGGACGTTCAAACCCTCATAGTAGAGTTATTAATGAAATAGGATACCAAAAAATCGAGTCCAAGATGAAAAAGGAGAGAAAAACGCAAAAAACCCGAAACAAGTGCACCTCCAGGCACCCCGGCTCCCAGGGCTGTCCATTTTTTTTTTCCAAGTTGTTTTCTTCATCCCAAACTCTTCTTCAAGTCCAATACCAATATTTAACTCTCAATGGGCTTCTTAAATAAAACTTCAACTTGACATAGGACTCCAATAGCATTCCAAACTGAATTCTTCTTGACCTTCAATTAAATTCTTCAATTAGTTCAACAATGAATTCGGGTCACGCCCTAATTCTAACAATCTGTACCTTGATACGAATTCCATTACAACTTACAAAGCTCTAAAATATTCTACACCTGGAGAAGAAAATCCATTTGCAAGGAATGAACTGACTCTTCAAAAATAACCAAAACTGATTTCTTCAACCAAAACACAAAATACTTCACATCTTCCAATAAATCCAAGTAAAACTCTGCACAATTGCCCCAGATTCCCA